GCTGGCAGCCGCTTCTCCTCCCCCCTCCTCCATCTTCCCTGGCCAGCTCCCTACCCCCAACCTCGCGCCCCCTGGCAGCCCTGCTTTTGTCAGCCCCCCAATCTCTCACGGACAGTCCCGATGCCCAAGGCAAGCCCAGCTTCCAGCGGCCGCTTCTCCTCTACTCCTCCTCCTAATCTCCCCCGGCCAGCTCTGCTTCTGCTGGCTGCCCCTCACCCAATCTCCCTGGCCTGCCCCGATTCCCCCGTCCAGTGCTGCTTCTGATGGCCGGCTCTCCCCTCCTCCTCCTCCTTCCTTCCTTTCCCCCCTCCTCCCAGGTACGCATCTGCCGGGAGCCAGAAGATCCAGCTGCAGACTCTGCCCAGGCCGGCCAAGGGCTTGGGGAACCTGGCGCCACACAGGCACTCCGGGCCCAGAACATCCCAGCAACCACACCAAGGCCCGGTGCTTTTTCCCTGTAGCCCAGTACTAGGCCACGGCCCATAGTTTGGGAAAGGCTGCTCTAGTGTTTGTTGGCCATTCTAAATGTTATGTAGTCCTATTTTCATAGAACTTAAATGGTCACAATTTGACTACTTGTTCTTTATTTAAAAATTGTAATGTAGGTCAAAGTAGGTTAAAAAGTCCAAGTTTAAAATATTAAGTCTTATGATGGAAACAATGACAGCCTGTTGCTTTGTTACAAGCGCAATATATAACACTGTTACTACAGAATTCTCTTCCAAAATCTTTGCCAGTGTTGTCCTTTTTACTTTCTCTTGAAGTGATCTGATTTCAGTTTCTGTCCATAACAGGCCAGTTTGAAGGCAGATTGCATGAACAAGCCCTTTGTTCAGAGGTGCCATGATCTGGAGATAGTAATTGAAGACTTTCCTGCCAAGGTACAGAGCAGCATCCTTTATGTTAGTGTTTGAGCTATGCTTCAGTGGAGTTGTATAATTCTTATTTTAATTTTTTTTCATTTGTGCCTTTTGTAAAAAATTTGAGATCCTTATGTGAAATTTTAGGAGTTCAGTAGTTTCCCAAATGTTACATTGCTGTTCCATTAGTAACAAAACTCCAATATTTTAATTGATCACATTTAATTGAATGCTCTGCACAGAGAAGTGTGTCCTGGCAGTAGCAAAAATTATGTACATGACACATATTGACTGTAGTTGGTGGAAATTGTGTCATGCATTCAGATGTCTGAAATTTAGGTTCTTCCAGACAAAGAATCTACTTGAACAGAAACCTTTCTTTTTTAAAAATTATATTTAGCTGTCATCTGTTATGATTGCACTTTTTTTTTTCTGGTTGTTTTCCTGTAGGAACTGCATGCCATCTTCCCATGGCTGGTGGAAACTATTTTTGGTAGTCTGGATGGTGTTATTGTAGGTTGGAATCTTCGCTGTTTGCATGGAAGAGCAAATCCTACAGAGTATGCAATTGCCCTGGATTTCCTGGACCCCAGGTAACTTCAGAGCTGTGGAATATACGTGGTGAATTATAAACTGGTATTTGACTGACTTCCCATTATTTAAACATATAACTAAAATAAGGGTGGGAAGAGAGATGCTCACAGTGTTTTTCCTTGTCCTTGCTTCCAGTGGCCCAATGATGAAGCTGGTTTACAAACTCCAAGCTGAGGAGTACAGATATGAATTCCCAGTCTCCTGTCTTCCCGTAAGTAACTGTTAAAGGCCGTGTAAGAGAAAATACACTATGGTATTTGAGTTACTATTCCATAGCATAGTAGGCTCTGGAGACTCGCTTTTTAGCTTGTTGATTGTTTCAGAGGGCTGTTAGAAGCAGAGAATGCATCGTCAGGGATTTCATAGGAAGTTGTGCTGTTAGCTTGTATTACGATCAGCAGGGCTCGCCAAGCTGCGGCAAGCCCCGCTTACCAGCCGCATGGTTCAGGATGCTGTGCATGCGCAAACTGCGCTGCGCATGCGCTGATCTTGCTGCAGCGCCATGCCGGGCTATAATCTACTTGTCTGTGGCTCTAAATTGTCGAGCCCTGACTGAGCAAATTTCTGTACTGTTCAACTAAGAAATGTCACTTTTTTTTAATTTGGATGCCAAAAGGGGCACAAGACTATATTTGTCTTAATTATCAGTAAACATTGGGGTTTAAAACTTCTCTTCCAAGCTTCTCTTACTCCTATCATCACATACCTCTCAGACACTTCATTTTTGTCTTAATGAAGATTAGCTATCCTCCTGGTCATGGAACATAACGTTTTATGGTTGAAGGAAAAGAAGTGTCTGTGAAAGCATTGTGAAATAACTTTTCCATTGCTACCAGATAGCCATAATCTAATAACAAGAACAGATATCATTTTACAATTTAATACAAGAATATATTCTCAAATGCATCCACATTTTCTGAGTAGCTTGATAGAAATCTCAATTCTCCCTGTCTTTTCAGGGCCCTGTGAAGGCTTCAATGCAAGAGCGAGTCCTACCAGAATGTTCACTGTACTACAACAAAGTCCATTTCCCTCCATCTGGAGGCCTAGGTTCAAACTTGGCCCTCAGTATCCTTTTAACAGTTGAAGAGTTTATATTTTTTTAATTCCTTTTAATATTTTAAGCTACTAAAACTGAGAAATGCGGTTCTGTTTCTGTTTGTTTGTTGAACTTCTACAGTGAAGTGTGTTAGTCCATTACTTCTGTGTTCAGATTGCAAACACGGTAGGTGAATCATTAGACTTAAATTTGTTTGTCGTTGAAATCTTGAATCTTTAACAACAGCTATGGTAAAATTCTGGCCTCATTGAAGTTGATGGCAAAACTCCAATTGACCTTCAGTGGGGCCAGGATTTTACCTTTCATGTTCCATATATACTTCTAGGTTGTTTGTCTGGTAGAATGAGAGAACCTAAATTACCTGACAGTGTCTAATAAACACTGGGAAGAGAGTGAAAGCTCAAATCTGAACTTGCTGTTGAGCTATAGAATATCTTCTAACCCTAGCACTGAGACACTGAAGTTTTAAAAAGCCAGTAAGTTCATATTGTGTTTCCTGTAGCTGTACTTATTGTATCCTTGACTTGTCTCTCCAGATCCATTTGAGTATTACATGTTTTATTTTGCAATAAGTCTTATCACACAGCGGGTAAATACATTTTATGTTTTTTTACCTTTAAAATGTTTTATTCTGGCAAGCCATTTCTTCACTCCACTTTGAAAGCTTCCATCTCTTCTCTAAATGCATGAATCCAGATAAACTAAATCTTGTACCTGTTAACTTGTAAATACCATTTGGTATGATGAAAACACAGGTAATGATTATAAACCTCTATAAAATTATACACATCCTTCCTCTTCTCAGTGCTGCATTCCATTGTTGGTGGCTGAGGATGAATAAGGTATAAAAATGTCAGCTTTCTGTGCACTCTATACCTGCTGAAAATGTGGGTCATCTTTTTTCCTTTGTTGTACAGACAATGCACATAGCAATCTTATATTGGACATTAAACTTCCATTGTTTTTAGCAGTATCTACTGGTGCTGTCAGATGTGAAGTCCGATATGGTCTACGGACTCATTGCAGAAGAGCTTATGAAAATATAGATCTTTAAGAACAGAATACAGTGATCGTCCAGTATGATTTTTTTATAATGTAGGCAATATAATTTCATCCAGTAATTGCTCCATCAGACCCACAATGAGATGCATCAGGTCCTGAAATCCTGGTACCCAATGACTTATTGTAACAGTCTTTGTATTTGCTTATTGTAGCTATATGTATATATTCCAGAATTCTCCCACTACCCAACATGTCAGCCCTTCCAACAACGCTTACTTCACTCTAGTGGACACATACCTGAAATGGTTCCTCCCCACGGAAGGAAGTGTTCTTCCTCCACCGTCTTCCAATCCTGGGGGAGCCATCTCTTCACCGGCTCCTAGGTAATGACTTTGTAAACTTGCACTCTTAATGATAGACTACTTGAGTATTGCTCACAAACTGGCTTGCTTCAGTGTTGAGTTTGTGCCACAAATTGTGAGAAAATACCACCAATTTTATATTGTGCACATGTATACTAGGGATGTTAGATACAGTGTAGTTGAATAGTCGTGTAACTGCATGAAATCTTATCAGTTAAATGACTATTCGATAGTCCCCAGGGGCAAGTCTGGCAGCCAGTACACTCCTAGCCCTGCTCCTGGGGAGCCCCCTCTGTATCTGACAGAGACAGCAGCATGGGCAATGGGACAGGTGGCACTGTGGAGCTGGTGCTGGGGGAAACTGACTTTTAAGCTGGTTTCCCTCCCCCCAGCACTAGCTCTTGCCTCGGGGGGAGGGGGAAAGAGAGGAGAGGGCAGGTGCATCTGCAGAGCTGGCACTCATGGAGAGCCAGAGTTGACCCCCTGCACATATTGGCTCCACCCTGCCCCCCTCATGCTGTTCTGCTGCTTCTATTAGAGAGGCAGCAGCATGGAGGGAGTGAGAGGGGGCAGGTGGATCTGGTGTTCATGGGGAGCCTGCTTAAAGCCAGCTCCTTATGGGCAGTGGCCTCCTCTTTCCCCCCACCCCCATCTTACACTCTCCCCTCTCTCTATCAGAGGCAGTATGTAGTTAAGATTAACCAGTAAGACAAGGCAACCTATAATAAACGTGATTGTACATATATAGTAGACTTATACAGGTGTCATTGAAAGCAGAGAAGCTTCTATCCTGACAGTTTGCTAGACTAGAATAGTGGAGCTGGAGATGAGTTATAAATATGGTTTGTAGCTCTTGGATTTTTTTTTTCATTTAGCACCACTAATTATGTTGCTTGCTGTATGCTGTGACCAGTGTGGGGGGGACAGTGACCATTCACCCAGGAGTGGTGTATACTACTGAATGCATTTGCGTGCAGTCAGGGAGCAGTTGAGCTGATTTTGGCTGTAACTCCAGGAACCTCTCACATTCTAACAACTTTGGTGCTGACTTTAGACAATTATGGCAAACAGTACTTTGTGTGTTAGCTTTTTTATATTGCCTGCTTCAGTCATCTCTGCTGCTATAATCTTTCATGTCCTACTTGAGAATGTCAGTGTTTTCTTGCAAGCTATCAGTTGTTGTGGGTTTCTTACTAGATCTCTTATCCCCAAGCATGGGTAGAATTTTTATTTTACTAATCAGTATGTAACAAGGCATCAAAGTTTGTGAAAGACTATGCATGATTCTCTGTTGATTGTTTGAACCACAAAGTAAAAGGGACCTGAGAAAAGAGTTTCAACCTCTTAATAAAGTTTAAGCTTGTATGTAGTTTTAACTTGCGTTTCTCAGTTAGCCGTGTAAAATTGACATGAAAAATTACTACCGTATGCACAAAATCTGTCTACTTATCTGCCCTTTACAATGATTAATAATGACAAAACTGAAATTCACCTGCAATGGTTGGGAATGTACAATTTTGTAAGGCTAATTTTTAATTTGGTTTTGTATGTGTTGTTTTTATATTAAAAAAATCTTTATTCAATAACAAAAGCATTTTGAGTGACTTCAAAAAGCCATCTCTCAGGCTTTTTTCACACTTAAACTAGATTAAATAATTAAAGTCTGTTACTGAACCAGACAGTTGACTAATGACCAATCTCACAATCAAATTGAATAGACGGCAGAGCTAAATAAAAGCAGAATGCAGTGTGTGGTATGCACAGTAAAATTAAACATTATAAATGAAAATAGGCGCAGAATACTGACTTGTACTGTAGCTAGTAACTATAAACTCTTGCTTAATTTTAATTCTGAATTATGCAGATTTACTTACAAAAAATAAGAGTTTTATGCTATGTCCTTGTAATTTTAGTGTATGACTTCTGTACCTGTACAGAGGCCTATTGACTTCAATATTTATATGCACTTCTTTTTAAAGATCACCAGTAGTGCCTTTCACTTCTTATGGCATGCATCACACTAGCCTGCTGAAACGGCACATTGCCCATCAGCCTTCAGTCAATGCTGATCCTGCTTCCCAAGAGATCTGGAGATCAGAAACATTGCTTAAGGTGAGTCTGATTTATTTTCTTAGTTATTTCAAGTTAGAATGGCTGGAAAAGCTTATTTGCAAGTAAGTCTTTTTTTCCCTAACTGACAATCACGGTGCTTTTCCATTCCTCTCTAGTTTGCAGTCTGCTAGTGGAACTGAATAATGCAGCTGCTGTTTTCTGTTAACCTCTTGCTATGTATTTTAGAAATGTGCATCTGTCTGTCCGTCCATCTGTGAGTCTATTTGTTCCAGAACTCCTCCTAAACCATCTACATGTTTTGTTAGTCTTTAAAGTGCTACCAGTGTATTTGTTGTTGTTAAAGTTTTTCCTCCTAAACGGTAAGACTAAGACCACCAAATTTGGTATATAGCTTCCTCTTATCATAACATAAGGGGGCGGGGGTAGAGAAGGGGACTGCTAGCTACCTATTGTATATTTCAGAGAGTTTGTCTGTATGCCTGTTTGTGTGTGGATCTGTTCCCCACCCTTACCCCATCTGTGCCTGCTGCAGCTGCCATGAACAGGTGCTTCTCCCTTAGCCCCACACTGTTGTGGTGAGAGAGGACTTGGGTTGTCCTCTCTCCTCAGGGCAGTCTGTGCACTGTACTCCTCAGCCCCAGCCCTGCCCCAGATCAATGATTTGGATGAAGAAAAAAACTTTTGAGTTACGGACTTGAGCAATGCCAGGCATGTCTTCTAGTAACATAAAAAGACACTGCTACATTATTAAGCAACAGTTCTCATTCTCATTTGGATTTCAGGGGGCTAATTCTCTTCTAGCTTGTACCAGAGTTGCTCCTGGTTTAGGAGAACATCAGGAACTAGGAGTATATATATTTAAAAAAAAACCCTTATCTCTTGCCCCCATGCTGAACTGAAATATTGATTTGTACAGTGTTCATGACTGTAGGATGTTTATGCAGAAGGATGATCTAGTGACTAAAACATGATTGGGAGTTTGTAGGTTTATTCCTGGCTCTGCCACAAACTTCCTATGTGATTCTGGACAAGATAATCTTTGCACCTCAATTTAGGGACTCAACCTGTAAGATAAGCATATGAGGACTGATTCATTAATGTTTTTGCGTTATTTGCATTTCTCTTATGACTTCTAGCCAAAGCATTAATAATATTATGAGGAGTCGCTTGCTAAAAGACCTAAGTTGTTATCTTTTCCAGTAAGCAAGCAAGCAAAAATCAATTTTTAAATCCTACAGATTAAACTGTAATCCTACAGTTAAGGTGATCGGGGTCTCATCTCCCCCCAAAAAAAAAGCTGTCAGTGCGGTCAATGTAGTTTTATTTTAAGATATTGTGACTTTTATAATGTGTCTTTTTCAAATAAAGCTGCTCTTCCCTTAAGTATAAGGGTATGTCTTCATTATGGAGCTAAATTGGTACTGCTCTAAGCAAATGCAGTAGCATCAATTTGGTGGGTCGGTTGAAGGTATTCTAAATCAATGGGAGAATGCTTTTGTCAGTTTCTGTGCTCCCCAAGAAGTGTAAAGTCAGTCTGCCAGAGAAGGTGATTGTGTGTGTCTTTCTGGCACCTCTCCCGCTGACTCAGCACATTGTAGACACCACAGTAAATGGATCTAGCTACATCAGCTTTAGTTATGTCATTCATGTCATGGAAGTAACATAGCAGATTGATTTACTGTGATTGTGTAGACCAGGCCTAAGTGATGTGGTTCTTGTTCATTTCCTCCTCCATGCTCCAGTCATCAGCTAGGCAGTTGAAAAAAACCCTCTTTAAATGATTCTTTCCATTGCCACATATATGTCTGTGTGTAGTCTGTAAATTCTTCTTTTCAAGGATAATGTATTTCTCTATATGAGGGAATTGACTAACATATATTGGGTGCTATTGCACACTCAATAATAAAACAACAGTATCTGAGAGTCATCCACTGAAGTCTGTGCCTGCATCACCCCCAAGCGTTTTGCTTTCCCTTGATTAACAAATAAACGAATATTTCACTTGAATTGATGTATCTTGGCCTTAAGAAACCTAACCTTATGTTGGTAGGTCTTGCTTCAGGATTCTTAGATTCTAAAGAGTAAACTGATCATTGAACTTCTATTCCTAAAGCAAGTTGGAAGGGAAGTGAATTCAGATGGAAGAGTCAAAAGGGATAGATAGTTCTGCTAAGGTATTTCAATTCAGGGATGGATAAGTAATAACTGTAGGAAATGTGTGATGTGCCTGTTACGTAGTTCACTTGCAGCCTTTTCCCATCTCCCTTAGAGAGAGAGACACACACACGTTCTTATTAAATAGATATGCCAGTTAATAAATTTAAAGCTACTAAACTTGGATCACTGGTGTTCCTAAATGAGTGAATACTGCATACAGATGTGGTTGCCTCATCTCAAAAAAGATACATTGGTATTGGAAAAGGTTCAGAAAAGGGCAACAAAAATTATTAGGGGTTTGGAACGGGTCCCATATGAAGAGAGATTAAAAAAACTGGGACTTTTCAGCTTAGAAAGAGGAGACTAAAGGGGATATGACAGGTGCATAAAATCATGACTTGTGTGGAAAAAGTGAATAAGGAAAAGTTATTTATTTACTCCCACAATATAAGAACTCGGTGTCACAAAATTAAATGAATAGGGTTAAACAAAAAAGTTTTTCTTCACGCAGCTCACTGTCAACCTGTGGAACTCCTTGCAGGAGGATGTTGCGAACACTAGGACTTTAATGGGGCTAAAAAAGAGCTCGATAAATTCGAGGAGGTTAGGTCCTTCAATGGCTATTAGCCAGGATGGGTAGGAATGGTGTCCTTAGCACTGTTTCTCTGGAGATCTGGAGGTAGGTGACAGGAGAGGGATTACATGAGGATTACCTGTTGTGTTCCTTCCCTCTGTGGCATCTGGCATTGGCCACTGTCGGCAGACAGGACACTGAGCTGGATGGACAGTTGGTCTGACCCAATATGGCCATTCCTATGTTCTGCTATGTGACCTAAAGGAGGAACTCTTTTAGTGTTTCAGAACTGTTTACACAATTCTTCAGACTTTACGATGTACATCATGTTTCTTAAGAGTGTGCCATGAGTCCACTTGGGAAAAAACACTAGCAGCCCACACAGCTTTATTTTCCTAAAGCAGGGGTGGGGAAACTCAGGCCCAGCTTGCCTAGATCTAGCCTCTGAGGGTCAGGGCCTCCCCTAGCATTTGGGAGCCCACACCGGCGTTTCGTCCCCGCTGCTGGAGCACACACTATCTACTAGGCTGGGCCCCCTAGGCTTTGTGTGGGAGATCACATAAGTGGCTTTTTTGCTTTTCACTTGTGTATGACCCTTAACTGATTTTTTTCTGTGGGTCAGCAGCCCCCAAAAAAGGTTCCCCACCTCTGACCTAAGGGGTCCATAGTAGGTATGTTAGTTTGTACATATTTACACAATTAAACAATGATAAACAATGAGCCCAGGCTTATCAATTAATCAAGTTAACCCTAATGGTTACACATACACGTCCCTCGTGCCCATGGGGAGTCAGTTTTTAAGCCAGCTCCTTGTGCCTGCTGGCCTCCTCCTCCCGCGCTTCTGCCTCTTTTATTTATATGAGTTGTTTTGACTTGTATAATTGTTTCCTCAGAACATCTAGAGCAGGAACATGTTCAGTGAGCATACAAGTAATAGCAGAAATAAAATGGGCCTCAAAAATATTGAGAAAAGAAATAGAAACCTTGGGTGCAGAGAGCTCTTGCACCTATGTAACAACATTGAAATGTAGTAGTTAGATTTGTGTGTGTGTAACTGGGAGAAGTTTTGGCCTAATGACTGCATTATGCAATGTAACTATACAGACATGTGATTGCAGATCATGTGAAATAATCCTTAGGGATAATAGTATAATATGTATCAGACTTATCTCACTAAATGTAATACATTTAGCAAAGGTTCTTTCCAGGTTCACCATGTCTGTAAGAAATGAGACATCCTTAAGTTGTGTCTTTTGTTGAGTGATGTACCACAGTTTGTCCAGTCAAAGGCAGCTTGTGATTGATTATTCCTGGGGCCTTCCGCTTTTCCTCTAGCTAAGAAAGCATTTATTGTTTTGCAGGTTTTTGTTGAAATGTGGCTTCACCATTACTCACTGGAAATGTATCAGAAAATGCAGTCCCCTCAGGTCAAGGTAATAAGCCTGTGTGTCATTCTTGGATGTCTTTTGCTTGTTGGCTTCTTATCTTGCGGTGAACCTTTATCACTTCCCATCTTATGGCGGATTTTTAACTGGATGGTTACAAAGGAGCGTTCTTAAAAGCATACATCAGAGCTTCTAAACCTCAGTGATGAAAAGGTGTTGTGAACAAATGCTTGTGTCATCCAAATTTGCCTTTGTTGCAATAGCTATATAAGTCAACTTTTGGAATGGTATAACAATCAATGTTACTTGTTGTAATTGGAGTAGTAAATACTGGTAAAACCTCAGCATAAAATGCCTTGTTAAAATCCCACACAAAAATATCAACATGGCCCTACAAGAGATTTAAATTTGGTTTCTGGAGCTGACAGTGTTACAGAGGAATTAATGACACTCTTGATGATCCAGTGACATGTTTTTCAAGAGCAAAGATTTTAGCTTAAATCCAATTTCAAGGGGTTTTCATAAACTATCTTTATAGTTTTAATTGGTTAAAGCATATTCTGTGTTTCCTGTCCCAGAAACTGACCTTGTGAAATATATGCTGCATTTCAATGGTGGCCAAAAGTGCTTTCTGTGTGTATGTAACTTTAGGATCTCTTATAAGGTCTGACTTAAATAAGACATTAAATTGATTACAAGCCATTTGTTCTAGCTGTTCTAAAATAAAATTGATGTGCTTAAAGGGGAACCTGATATAGGAAGGATTGTGAATGCTGAGATTGAGAGAATTTGGGAGGGAAAACGTGGGACTAATGATTCTTAGGGGAGAAATGCAAAAGTTACTAAAGGATGTTCATGTGTGAAGGAGCAAAATAATTGCTTGACTGAGAAATTCTGATCATTTCATCAGATTATTAAACAAATATTTTGTTAGGAAAGAATGATGAAGTGTAGTGAGTTTGCATGTTTTTGTTCAAAAATTATTTGATATCAAAGTACAAACTATTCATAGAGATGGTAGGTCTCCACTCAGGAACCCCAGGAGCATGGCTGTGCACTGATGACGCATAGGCTTTGCTTTTAAGTACCTTTGTTCTCTGTCTGCATCGTATTTGTGCATGCAGCTTTATGCTGACGTAAAAAATGCATTGCTTTAAACTTCTCTCCTCTATTCACCCTCTGTAGTTGAGCCACTGTCCACTAATGGTATAGCAGCATTCAGGCAGACAATGGTTTCTTAGTGCTCATACACAGTGTGATTAACGCTGTGGAATGTATGGCTAGAACCTGAAGGGGTTTTACCACATAGGCTCCTACCCGGATGCCTGGATTAGGTTAGGATTGAGGCTGTGTCTGCCTGATGGCTTTCTACTTCTGTCCCTGATTATTTCCCAAGAATCACTAGCTATGGACATGTAGACAGATGACATCCTCCTGCTTTTTTGGTGGGTTGCTGGATAGGAAACAAGGCCACGTAGTGTCCTCATTCAAAAAGATACCTTCCTCCAGACCTTTGAGAGGTATGGCTTTAGAAGGTGTGGAGACAGCATCATCTCTCCAGTAGTGACTATTTAACTGACCAGGGTATTATGTGGAGGAGTTGAAGAAGACTAGTGAAGCTTATCATTCAGATGTGAGCAAGAAACTAGAACTTGCAAAAAATAACATTTCTCTGGTATCGAGAGGAGGTTTTTTAAATGGCTGCTTTTGACTGACAGTCTAGAGCACATCAAAACTTTTTAAAAAGTAAATTGAATAAAGACCGCATATCCTCCCCTATTTCCACGGCCCTTTCTGCATGTATAGAGCAGGGGGATGGTTAGTGCAACAGAAAGTCTTTATACCTGGGTCTCTTAAATCATTGCTGTTTTATCTCTCTCGCTAGAAACACTTCTGTAAAGAGGAGGGAGGGGATAATGTTCCTCAGAACTTGATGGCTCTTTCTCCATCAGAAAGACACAGTGTGCTGGAAGTGCCCTGCTGGGTTCCAGCTGTGTCATTTCCCATTGCCCCTCTGAATTGTCTGAAAAAACAGGCAGATCCTAAGAATAATTCGTGCCATTAAGGATCTCTTACACTTCAGTAATAAAGGGATGGGTGAGGTATGGGGAGGAGCCGTAGAGAGTTTACTTCAAGAGGAATTACCTGTAAGAAGAATTACTTTATTTTGTGATTATCCTGCTTCTAATTGCTCCCAGATGTGGAATAAGCCTGAGGTTGACACTGTTATCATGCTGGGTTTGATTACTGCTCCATTAATTAAATTTGATTCAATTTCATATCCCCTCCCCCACTTTTTGCTGTACTCTCCTTTCCTCTCTCTGTTTTGTAGCAGCTCAATGCGGGGAGCAGGTGTGCAGTATCTGTTTTCCTTTTAGCTTCTGCTTTTGCCATTATTTGATTTATTTTAAGGGGTCAGTATCTCACTGGCTTCTATGGAAAGCCTGTTGCACCTCCACTCGCAGGATCTCAGTAACAATTGCATGCGTGGCACCTCTCAGGTATCTAGATCTTGCTTCAGCATATGGGAGGGGAGTTAATTACCATGGCAGAAGATGAGTTCTGCTCTTGGGGAGCTTTCAGTGGTATAACTACCACTCTCTTAGCAGTGTAGAAACAAAGCAATTCTGAAAAACTGAACTGAAAATAGAGGAGAAAGAAACAGATAATCTTAGAGGAGATGAGATGGAGAGTTAATTTAGAAGCCTGATAATACTAATTGAAGTCTCTGTTTACATTTCGTTTTGATTTTTTTTATTTATTCCATACATGTCTATGTGGCTACAGTATCCTCTTCACCACTATATTGGTTAGTCTTAGAAAATGTTTCTGTCCCCAAGAAGGGTCGCAGTTAAGGCTTCGGAAGATCTCTGCAGTAGACCTAGAACTTTAATAGCCCTGTTCTTATTTCAGCATGTCATCTTTACAACAAGCCTGTCTTTTTGTTTTGTTAGGTTCTTTTTCCCCCATGCTTTAATAGCAGAGGCTATTCTCTTTGAGACCTGTTAACTTTCCACAGACTTGTAATTACCATAATTAGTATTTAGCCTTTAAATAGGAGCTTGCATGTTCCATGCTTTGTTTTCCTATCTGGCAATTGCTAATACTGCAATTAATTAGACTCCTAGGGTGCTATCAGCTCTTTCTTTTCCCCCTCCATTTCTCTGGGACACAACAGTCCTCTGATTTACAAGTCCTCTGACTGACAAGGTTCCTAATCAAAAGCTCTTAAGTAAGTTGTCATGGGAGAAGAGGGAAGGTCCACTCATGGACTGATAACAGGGTAAAAAATAGGAAACAAAGGGGAAGAATAAATGGTCAGTTTTCAAAATGGGGAGAGGTAACTAGAGGTGTCCCACAAGGGTCTGTACTGGGACCAGTACTATTCAACATATTCATAAATGATCTGGAGAAGGGGGTAAACAGTGTGATGGCAAAATTTGCATATGATACTAAACTGTTCAAGATGGTTCAGACCAAAGCAGACTGTGAAGAGCTTCAAAAAGATCTCACAAAACTAGAAAATTGGGCAAAAAAATTGCAAATTTTAATATTGATATATGCAAAGTAATGCACATTGGAAAACATTATCCCAGCTATAGATACAAAATGATGGGGACTAAATTAGTTATTACTTCTTAAGAGAGACTTGGAGTCATTTTGGATAGTTCTCTGAAAACATCCACTCAATGTGCAGCGACAGTCGAAAAAGGAAGCAGAATGTTAGGAATCATAAAAGAAGGAATAGAGAATAAGAAGAGAATATCTTATTGCCTCTGCATTAATCGATGGTACGCCCACATCTCACATACTGTGTACAGATGTGGTCGCCTTGTCTCAAAAAAGATATCTTGGCATCGATAAAACTTCAGAAGAGGTCAACCAAAATGATTAGGGGTTTGGAACAGTTTCCAGATGGAGAGATTTAAAATACTGGGACTTTTCATCTTAGAAAAGAGAAGACTAAGGGGGTTATGATAGAGTAGGGATGTTAAATTTTGATTGACTAATCAAAGGGATTTCCATCAACTATTTGATTAGTCGTTAAGGGCTAGCATAGTGTTCCACCTTTGGAATGTACAAGAGTCCCTGTTGAGGTTCTTGTACAAAGAGGATGTTGCCAGGCTGGCCCCAAGCTCCATGCAGTGCTGCTTCTTTGAAATGTACAAGATCCCCACCTGGAGCTCTTGTACATTTCAAAGTTGGAATGCTTCCTGCACCCTTGCCCCCTCCCACAGAGCTGGAGCTGGGGAGAACCAGCTTTTAAGCCATCTCCCCACAGAACCCTCTCCTCTTTCCCCCTCCCCCTTGCTGCCTCTTTGTGATAGAGACAGCAAGAGGGGGGAGGAAGCAACTACTGATGCTCCCCGAGTCACGAACAAGTTAACTATCCAATAAGCTTTTGCTTATGAGCTAGTCGATTAGTCACTTGCCTGCCTATGAAAGAGGTCTATTAAAATCATGACTGATGTTGAAAAAGTGAAAAGGAAAGTTATTTGCTTGTTCACATAACATAAGAACTAAGGGGTCACCAAATTAAATTAATAGCTAGTAGGTTTAAAACAAAAGAGAGTTTTCTTCCCTCAGCCCACAGTCAACATGTGGAACTCCTTGCCAGAGGATGTTGTGAAGACCAGGACTTTAACAGAGTTCAGAAAATAACTGGACAAATTCATGGAGGGCTGGGTCCATCAATGGCTATTAGCCAGGATGGGTGAGAATTGTGTCCCTAGCCTGTCTATCAGTGGCTGGGAATGGGTGACCGGGGGGGGGGGAATCACTTGATTATTCCCTGTTTTGTTCATTCTCTCTGAGGCACTTGACATTGGCCACTGTCGGCAGACAGGTCACTGGGCTAGAAGGACCTTTGGTCTGACCCAGTCTGGCCGTTCTTATGATTCTCTGGCACATAAGCCTCAAACATTGGCTTCCCAATGCTCTGTAGGCTAAGGGATGACTTTATAGTAACCTTCCAAACACTAGTTTGGGACTAAAAGTTTTCAGAAAAATTACTGGGTTTGCTCCATTTCAAAGCATTCTGCATAGTTTAGGTGTTTTCAAGTGGAGAGATCCGACTTCTTTTCATGAACCTAAGATTTCCTCAACATGGAAGCTGTATGGCTCTGTGCATTGCTTGTTGGGTCATTGACACAAGCCTGTTGCTTTTGTGGTAGAGGCAAAGACAAAGTCTGCCCAATCATAGCTCTTTCCCCCTCCCCCACTGCTCCCCGGCCACTGTTAATTGTGAACCCAATAACAACATCCTGTCAATTACTTTCCCAACTTGAGTGAGGGTCAAGGTACCTGTGGAATCGGGCAACTGAGCCCCAGAAGAAGAGGATACTGTGGCTGCAGCTGTTGTGATATGTTGTCATGAACTGTATTTGTGACTTCCATTTTTTTTTCCCACCCCTCCTCCTTTGGATCATTCTCACTGTTTCTTGTTTTTTTTGTTTGTTTTTTTTTTTTTCTCTTGCTTTTCTCTCTCTCTTTTTCCCTCCTTTTTTGTTTCTGTTGTCTCTTAGCTGGAGGTTCTCCACTACCGACTCAGTATCTCCAGTACACACCACAGTAGTCCTGCCCAATCCGGCTACCAGGCCCTCCACGCATACCAAGTATTACCATCTTTTCATTTTGTTTCTTTTTAAAAATCTTGTTTCATCATATAATCTGCAAAGTGTATTAATTGACACTAGCAGAAAAGGCAGCTGTACAGCCAATGTTTGGTTTGCAAGATGATTCAGAGATTAGTTCCGCTGAAACAAAATTTGGCAAAGCTAGGTGCAGCACATACTGAGAGATGCAGGTGAACACCATGGAAAAGCATGTTAGCTGAATAGCACATATTAAAAGGAGCAACTGGACTCTTCATTTTAAGAGACGCATCTCTCAATAGATTGTAAAGGGAAAAAAATTGGCACTGTGCTAATACCTCCTTGGCCCAACAACTTGCTTTGCTAATGACAGAATCGTGATTGTCATGCACTGCTCCTTTAAATGAATCTTGAAGGGAAGAGGAGATCAGAAATTGCACAGCTGTATCTCTAATGGGAAAGGTAGGTAACATGGAAACAATCATTCTGCACTTCCAGTAGAACAGAGCTGGACAGTGTTAAAGTAATATTGGCAGCCTGAGCTTAATTGCCTAACTTCACGAAGGGGTATGTGGGTTGCCCATCTGCCGATTGAGGACGTACCTGGAACGCCATTCCTGTTGGAGCAGGCACCTGGGTTCATCCTCCCCTATTTCAGCCCTTTTATTCAGTGGTTCCTCATTTGGTGGAGCGCATATTCCATAAAGCCAAGTTAATGTTGGTATGAATTCTCCTTGCCTGTACCATTGAGTTCTCTGCTTTTCACACGAACACTTTTATTACTAATCATCATACTGCTTAAGAAGGAAAATAAGGATTTGCTACCAGGTGCTTGGTTTTATAGCCTTAAATCATCATGCCAAGCCACAGTGGTGTTCTTAAATGTATGTGAAATATGTATCTTTTCCACCTTCCTGGATGGTTGTGTGAACATTCCTGCAAATGGGAGCTGACAGTTAAAGCTTTTCAAAAGAGCAGGGGGAACAGAAGTTACCTTTTAAGATGAAAGAACAATGCTCATGGTGATGCTTATGGTCCATCTTATGAGGAAATTAGCCTGTTAAACAGCTCTTAAGTGTCAGAGGATTTGTTAGTGTGAAAATGCAATTAAACACTGCCACGCAAACAACAGTGGGAAACTCCTATAAAATAATGGAGAATGCTTTCTTGGAGGTAGTTGATGGCCAAGATTTTAAAAAGTGACTGGTGATGTTGGGTGCCCAGATTGAAGTGAAAACCAGACACATTCTAGCTTTTGAAAATTTTGGCCTACGCTCATTGCATCAGAAAGACCCTTCCCAAAAGTTCTTTGTTAGGTATTTTCTTTTTCAGACTTTATATAGACTAACTGATTTACAGCCACTTCTCAACTAGTGTGACGCCTTTTATAGCTTCACCTCCATTGGGGATGGATACTGGCAAGAATACAAATGAAGTCTTCATTAATCCTAGTAATAGGGACTTTACTCCCTTTAGAAAAGGCATTGGTTCAACTGCACTGTTGCAGTAAGAGGCCCTTCACCACCTCCCATTACTCAAGATTTGAGCCTTTTCCCAGAGGGAACCTTGCTATGTAAAAGCGGTCAGGGAATGTTCAGAACTGTTTAAACATGTGAATGCTGGTAGCTTCTTCCTCACCGCCATTGGAATTAGGAGAGGCTCTAAGGTGTTATCACAGCTTCAAGAATTGTTCTGAATTGCTCATAAACACAATTAAAAATGAACGCCTTTTCCAAAAAACAAAACAGCCCGTCCCAAGTAATCAAATTCTGCTGCTTTGTTGTTTTACCTGAATTACCACTTCAGTATAGCATCCAGGAAACTCCTTTCATAGCTGCCGCTAACATCCCAGTGGGACCCTCCATTGCACTTGGTTTTGTTACCATGGTGCTTTTGTTTGGCTATCCTTCCTCTCCCACAACCATCAAGAGCTGTGAGATTTAGGAAAACAAAAATGCTCTACAAATCAGCTCTCAATAGTGGTTTGAGACTAATTTACTGTTTCCAAGGCAGGTTACAACATGAGTATATTTGGTGTGTGCCACTGGGCTCTGTAGTCACACAGCGCGTAGTCAACCTGTGGAACTCCTTGCCTGAGGAGGCTGTGAAGATTAGGACTATAACAGAGTTTAAAGAGAAGCTAGATAATTTCATGGAGGTTAGGTCCATAAAAGGCTATTAGCCAGGGGATAGAAATGGTGTCCCTGGTCTCTGTTTGTCAGAGGATGGAGAAGGATGGCAGGAGACAAATCACTTGATCATTGTCTTCGGTCCACCCCCTCTGGGGAACCTGTTGGCAGACAGGGTACTGGGCTAGATGGACCTTTGGTCTAACCCAGTATGGCCGTTCTCATGTTCTCTGCAGAAGTCGGGAAGGATGCCCCTGATTCCCTTTTTCTCGCCCTTTAGATTTTCCCTAGACCTATATATCCTTCTTCTGGCAGCAATACCAGACTTGCTCCCCTTTGTTTCTTGTGTGAAAAAGATCTTCCTGTCTCCTACACTTCCAGTAACAATACCCCAGCCAAACACTCTTCCAAACTTACCCCTATGTTAAGTGCAACCGAATCATTCAGTGCATGAGCAGCAGAAGCAATATTGCTCTTACCATACCTTTGTGTAGGATTTTTCTTTTTTTAGGAGGAAGGAGAAAACCCACATAAGAAGGAAGGCATAGTAGAGAGTTAGCTGAGAGCATAACAATAGTTCTCTGGTGATACCCACAGCAGACACCCATTCTTTAATTTATTTATTAATATTTAGTATTTTTATTTTTTCCTGGGAGGGCATAAGTTAAACTAAAACTTAATGACGTTCTGTTACTACTCTCTAGGGGTTGCCATAACTTGAAGCAAATAGTGATAAAACCCTCTCTCCCGGTCATTACAGTGAATACAAATATTGTTAGTAAGCTATTGAAGGCAGAGTTGTGATGCAAATTGTTCTTTTGGGGAAATAATCTGTTCAAATCAGTGCAGAACTAAACATTTAGGGACACTCCTGATCTGTTTAAATATCTGATATGAAAATACCTTTGTGTTAAGCTCCCTCATAGGGGGTTAACCCGTAAAATTTATCTTTATGCCTATTGCTTTGAATCCAGGAGTCGTTTAAACCCACCGAGGAGCATGTGTTAGTGATAAGACTACTTGTGAAGCATCTACACGCTTTTGCCAACAGCCTGAAACCAGAACCACTCTCGCCCTCAGCCCATTCCCATACAGCCAGCCCGCTGGAGGAATTCAAGAGGTAGGCATACTGTAAAACTGCCTTTTGAGCATGCAGTACACCAATACACACCTTGGCAGTTTTGCCTTTGTTGAGCACTTGAAAGCAAGTTGTTTGCAAGGCTGTCAGAAATTGCATTATTAGGAGGATGAGAGAACCTGTTGTCACATTCCTCATGTGCTTTGGGATTGAGTCCAGATCAGAATAGGGAAGAAGGAAGTAGTTAGCTCCCACTCAAGAATGTTTCCACAGTGGAAAATATTTCTGTTTTTTCAGGAAAGGGAGAGGGGATTAAACTGCTGTACAGGTGCTAGCATTTGTTCTGAGAACAGCGAGAAGTTGAAACCAGTTTAGAAGAGCAGTCAGACTGGTGCAGAATTAATTTCTGTATATTTCTCTGCAAAGGAGACTTGCAATTCAGAATCGGGTAGAGAGAGAGTTGTGTTACTGTAACTACACTGGAGGGAAATTCCATTTAAGAACACAAAGCAGTTGTCTTAGGTCATGGAATTGCAGGTTGTGTGAATCAGGATTAGAACTCTGCAGACTGACTTTCATCTTGAAAGAGACCATGATTTGAGAACACCCATCCAAACTCATTATGTCAGTATTAAACGTTGGCGGTATTACTTTATTATCTATTATTTGTTTATACGTGTTTGTGTCTCAATCTCATTGCAGAGTTGTGATTCCTCGGTTTGTCCAGCAGAAGCTTTATGTCTTCCTGCAGCATTGCTTTGGCCACTGGCCTCTGGATGCCTCTTTCAGAGCTGTATGTACCAGCCTATATTATTGCTGAGTCTGTACAAAAATCGAGTTAGTGTTTAATAAAACATTGAGCTGACCACAGTGATAAAACTGCTATTTTTATAGAATTGTTCCCCATTCCTGATTGGTTTTTTCCCTCAGGAGGAGGGAAATTAAAACATTTATTAAGATAAGAGTTAGAAATGAAGTGTAGCAAGATGTGGAAGGGGGGATTCTGAGATACTGGTGAAATTGAGTGGTGGTTGTTTCTTTCTCTTTCCTTTTATGGAAATGATCTCTAGTTGAGAACCTGTTTTTGTTAATACAAATAGCCTGTATGGATACATTTGTCCTATCTAATAATATGCTCTAATCTTGTAACTAACCAAACCAGAAGGAATGTGGCTTTAATTTCTCTGTCAAGATATGTTTAATATACATTTCTCCTCCTCGGGGAAGGTTGGTTGGTCAGCCAGTTGACCCCCTTAGAAATTTGCCCTGCCCCTCCACCTCTCCAAGAAATCATTCCAGGGACCTTCTACCCTTTTCCCAGGATATACAAACAAGGGAGTCCAAGCAAGCTGTGGCACTGAATGAATATTGGGATTTATAGAAACCATCCTCCAGCCATGCATCAAGAAAAGGGCCAGGTTCCTCCAAGACACAATCATCTTCTTCCACAAACTCTGCAACATTAACAGCCTCCCTCAGAACACTGTCCTTGCCAGCATGGGTGTCACTTCACCCCAGCGTTCTTTGCACTGAGGGCATAGCTGCCTGCTTCAAGTATTTATAAGACAATGGCCAGCCGGCAAGTATGCACCCAAATACATCAGCCAGCTCTTCCATTTCATCCTCACGCATAACAATTTTGCACTCTGTCCAAACCAGCAGAACGGGTCTGGATACTAGGATGGCTCCTCAATAGGCCCTATCTCCTTGAGTCAGTCCCCTTGAAAAATGTCTGGACAAATGCACCATGGCATCAATACAATATCTGGAATATGTTGATAGTATTTTCACCCTTTGGACAGATGTAACTTCAGCAACAACGCCGCTGCCCTGCCCCCCCACCCCCCAGTCCATTAAGGTCTCTGGAATGCTCCCACACTAGCACCAACTTCCTGGACACTGCAATCAGGATAAAGTCCAGGATATACACCTTAACACACTCAAAACCGCCTTACTAAATTACCACACTCCACCGGAGAAGCACATCCCATCATGGAACAGGCCGCCCAAATACCCCAAGAAAACCTGCTTCAGTACAGAAATAAAACCCCTCCAACTACACACCCTGGTTGTCACCTACCATCCCACACTGGCACTGTTGAGGTATCCTCAGAAACTACAACCCATTCTTGATGGAGGCCTGATCTTGGAAGTATGGTTCCCAGATCTGAAGAGCCCTGTATAAACCTGAATACTTGAGTCTTTCTCTCCAACCCAATAGATATTATATCCCTCATCTTGTCTCTCTAATATATTAGGCCCAACACTGCATACACCAGTATTAGTGCATCAGTTTGCTTGGTAAGTGCATGTTCTTTTCTGTGACAGCCGCGTGTGCACGCTTTCCTCTCGTTGTAGAGGTGGAACTGCTTGTTCAGTACAACAAAGCATTTCCTAAAATGTTTTGTTAATGAATTGCTGCTAAACATTTAATTCTCTTCAGCGCTGATGCAAGGGCACATGATCACCAAAAACTTGTTCTTCAGGCCTGAGACTCTTGCAAGAAAGTGTTATCGTCCAAGAGACTTAATAGAACAGACAAGCAAAATCTTTCTTCTTCTGTTGAATTGATATTGTATGTTTTTGTGTTCTTGCCTCAGGTGCTGGAGATGTGGCTAAGTTACTTGCAGCCTTGGAGATATGCTCCAGAGAAACCACTTCTGGGTGCAGAGCCTCAGCCTCGCAGTGTGTCAGAGAAATGGTAAAAATAGGAATATTCCTGAGCAGAATCTGCAGGTCGCTCTAATTCTGACATCAGCATTTATTAACTACACTAGACCTCTGTACTCTGGGTGTCCCCGCTGCGGGAGTGGCAGCATGTAGAGCTAATTCCCCTGAGGCTTTTCTTCACTGCTCCCGTACTGGTGTGGGGTAGTGCCTTGGAGCAGTGGGGAGTGTGAAGCCAACTGTACTCCCGGGAGCAGGGTGGCAGGTAAGTGCCCCATCCCCTCATGTCGAGGCCCCACTGCGTCTTCTCTGGCCCAGCAAAATCTTTAATCTGACATACACTGTTTCCCAGGGTATGCTGGAGTAAAGAGGTTCAAGTGTATCAAGTAAGGAGGTATGCCAGAGCAAGGAGGTTCAAGTTGTACACAAAAATTTCAAAGGCAGAGTTGTAAATGTTGTTCCTTGTAAACATCCAGTTTATGGATTTTGAACTATGGAATTGAGACCAAGCACTCTCTTGTTTTATTGCCAGGTGGGGTCACAGAATAGAAAAGGTTAAGAACTGCTTTCTAGTTTACCCCCATTTGGTTCTTCCTGACATGTTACTCCATAT